GAAAGCATTTATTTCATTTTTTGAAGCATAAAAAAGCTTAATTTGAATCAGACAAGAATATTGTCTAAGAAATTGATGTTCAAACGAAAGTTAAACCTACATTTTTTAAGAACATATTATTCATTATGAAAATTTCAATGATTTGATAACATATTTAGCTGAAGACTATTTTAGAGTTGATTATTTCTTATATATAGTTGATCATGCTTTTTATTCACTCAAATTTGAACAATTTGAACAATATGAAATTTTTGAATTTTGTTTAATTTTTTTTTAAAATGAAAACTACATATGATAATTCTTTGAAGTTTTGGTGTGATAAGCTTGAAAATTTTTTGAAGCATAAAAAAATTTGATATTATGGGCAATAGTTATTTTATAAGCTGCAAATTACGAAAAATTATTTGTCAGATCAGATGAGACCAAAAAGGTGATCAAAGTGTTGGCTATATTAAAATGACAGAATATTATTTTTCAAATATGAATTACTTACAAAATATTATTGGATATATTAATTACAGTTTCATTTGCTAAAAGCAACTTCTCAAAGTTGAAGTTAATAAAACTCTAACTTTGGTCAACTATGAATTGGATATGATGTCTGTTAAAAAAAATGTTTTAAAATAAATTGATTGTAATAGTATAATTGTTGATTTTTTATTTTAAAAAAAAAAAAATTCTAGAAGAATAAATTTAATTTTAGACATTTGAAAGCTTTAGATTATTTTTTTATAATTTTGAATATTTTTATTTAATAAATGTTATTATTTATTATTACTATATATTTTTAATATCTATAGGGAACCATATTTAAAATTGGTATAAAGCTCCAAAAATCTCAAGACCGATTCTACACGTAGATTCAAAATTTTTAAAGACATTTAATTTTTTTTTCACAAAAATCTATTTTAAAGTTCTACATCAAATATATATTAGTGTGTTTGGGATACATTCTTTTGAAATAATGTATTATTGAATAGTAGATTGATGGAGAATGTGTGGTTAAAAATGAAGGAAAAATTATTGATGTGATGTAAAATATTATTTTATTGAAAAATGTGCGGTTGAAAATGAGTAGAAGAANGAATGCATTTTTTTGTTTGGTGTGATGGGGAAATGTGGTTGAAAAAGAAGAAAAAGTTTTTGATGTGATGGAAAATATTATTTTATTGTAAAATGTGTGGTTGAAAATGAGAAAAAAAATGAGAATAAAAAAAAATGTGTTAGGAGAATTAAAATCCAAACTAACTTGCTTCTAAAATTGTGTACAAGTACCGTACTTTTCTGTAGTCAAATTCTTATAATGCAAAATCGAACATGCGCGTTGCTCTTTGCCTTATCTATGTTCTTTTCTAATCGTCCGTTTTCATACAACAGAGTGAACATTACGAGTTGGACTTTAATTTATTGAAGGCCCACAATTTTTAAAATTTACATATTTCATTTTTTCTTTAAATATTCTATCATTAATTAATAATATATGAAAAATTAAAGATTACGAATGATTTTTCAGTTACAAATATTAAACTCAAATAATTTAACAAAATTATTTTCCCAAAAAATTTTGGAAACAAAATAGAAGTTAAACAAAAATAAAACTTCTCAGTATATATATATATATAAATTAAATAAAACTTTATGAGTCAGATGATTCCTAATAACCAGTATTCTAAAAAACCTAAAGTGTGACTAGACGTGGATACGAAATTTCAAGCTTTTAGGAGATTAAGTGAACCTAGGCAAGGGTTAAGCATACAAAAATATTTTCTTATTTTTAATATTATTTTAAATTTTTAATGATTTTAAATCATTTAATAATTAAAATAATTCATATCAAATATCTAAAATTATAAAATATTATATTTACTTAATAATTCATACCATTCGTCAATTATATAATTTTTAAGTTTTCGAAATACAAAAATTAGAATATTTTTCGTAGTTTCAATTTTTAATTAGACAAGTTCTACTTAATAGATTTACATAAATTTCAACATGCTTTTAGAGTTTGCAGTAAAATAACGAATTTCAAGATCATAATTGTATAATGTAGATAGCACTATAACTTAACACTTATCTAACTATTTAAATAAAGTCATTTTTAACTTTTGTACATATAAAATATGGGAAGAGTTCAAAAGTAAGGGATTAACAATACACAATTCAAAAATCAGGTTTTAACTTTGACTAATGCAAAAATCAGGTATTAGTTAATTAATTAAATATATTTATAAATTAAATATAATAAGCTCACAGTCATATAATTAATGGTTACATAAACATAA